ATGTCATCTGCTCAATCTCAAATGCTCTAATTGCAAGATAACAATCGTCTTCATGCTGACTTGACCCTGGTGGTGGAGGTGGGGGTAAATCTCCGATGACATCACGTAGTCTTCGTTCCTCTTTTGATATCTTTCTCTGGTTGCGCCTCCGTCTTCTCCTTTTCTCGTCTACATTTTCAGCCACACCAGGTCTTGCAAACTCATAGGCAATACCAACTGCTCTTGCCCTAGCTATCAATTCTGCATCTTCTCTATCATTGATCTGTGGTACATGTATCTGCTCTTCCAGCTGTACATTTTGAATGTTGTCTCCTAAAGCCTCTTCTTGAAAATCAATTCCAGGATTACCATCACATGAAATCTCTTCAACTAATTCTTCATTTATACAGTCACATTGATTGTTTCCACCATCAATAAGGATCACTTCTAAAAGTTCAAGATAACAATCAATTGAAATTACTATGAACCTACCATTTTTTTCCATTTAAAATCCTACTACAAGTGGCAAAACATTTTATGTTAAATAAATTGCACACACAGATTGTACACTGGTATCTAGAATGGAAAAAAATAGTATTTCTTCTCTACAGAGATTTCAAAGAATTGATTTGACATCAAATTACGATCACAGCAAGCACTGACTGGATGTCTTTTAATTAAACATGCCGCATCCAGTCCAATGAATTGGACGGTAAAGTAGGACATAGAGATAGAATACAGTGCTGCAATAATCAAACCTTGGGAATAATGAAATAAAATATAAAAGTAGGGTTTACCTCTATTAAGTTCATCAATTTCATTATTCTCGACTTCTATATCAAAATTACATAAATATATGTTAATTCAGAGTATAAATGTGCCTTTGGTTAATAAAAAATAGAATTCAAATACTAGCTCCATTAACAAACAATACATAATTTTGCAGTGTTTAAAAAAAACCTAAAACATATTTCATAATCTATTATACCAATGGTGGTATTTCAAATACATGTAGTTTCCTTACAAAAAGAATTGTTGTGGATTGAGATATATAAAAACAAGATATTCACAAAATATATAAATAATGACATTAATTATAATGGTACATGGATAATTATTTCCCCATCGCCTTCATTGATAATTTATAATAAAAGAAGGATACGGCTACAGATCAAAATAAAAAAATTAGGCAGCTCAAAGAGCGCAAGCCATGTGGTTATACTCCAAAGAGAATGTACTGCGATAAAAAACACAGCCAATAAAAAATTCAGTTCTTATGAATTTTTAATTCTATTCTCTGAATAGCAAGACGTCAGGGTCAGATTTAGGCTAAGGCCCCATAAAAACATTTTTTAGCGATATTGTTACGAACATCATAGACATCAGACTCAAGATTTACTCGTTTTCAGTTCGGGATCTTGGAATGTATGACCAATTTATTTATATAAAGATTTATCATCAAAATAGAAAATTATAGCTTTTTTTATAAAGAAAAACTATTGAAATAACATAATAAATAAGAAAAAAAATGTAATATACAACAGGACTCAAACCACGACCCTGCCTCTGATCGCCATAAAACCTTCTAAAACAGTCAATACGTCATCAAATCCAATGACATCCACCCTTGCTTACACTGTAAGCGACATGATGATATAGTGGCTAAAACTCTGTCCTATCCAATAGATAGTGAAAGCAAGAATTATGCATTCACTAGTTTTTTTTGTTAATTGATTAAATTGTGCAGTTCAAATTTCTAATTACAAGTATATCCATGCATTGCAGAGAGGAAAGACAAAATTTGAAATCTTTAACTTATTTTTAAATAACTCCTCTTAAAAGACTTGTGAGTATAAACATACCCATGGTAATTGTCTTCCGTTGATTTGTTACAGCAAAGTCATGTGAGCATTGACAATTAAGAATTATTTTTTCATAATCACATATTTTTTCATTTTAAATTATAGAAAATAACAACCTCTACTAAGAAGCAGTAGCTTGCAATATAATGATAATTATAGTGACACCAATGAAAATAAGGAATACTTCAAGTCAAAATATTAAATTTTGGATGTAAAAAATGAATATTTCAAGGGTTTTGCTTAGATATTGTGTATGAGACAAAAAATTGTCAGTAGGAAGGAGGGCTAGGGCAAAATTGTTAACTTTTTGAAAATATAATAATTTATTATACTTGCTTTTTGGAGCAAAATAATTTTAATGATTATGATACAAAACTCATTTGTGTTGTGTTAAATGTCTCTTTTTGTTAAGAATTTATTCATAGGTTTTATTCATTTTAATGTGTCCATGATATATAATGATTGAAACTAAAGGTAATTTAAGGTTAATATACATGTAGTTCCAGAGTCTCTGATATCAATGGAAATCTCTGATTTTTCCCTGTATAACACACCAAAATAGTTCTATTAAATCCATCTCTAATTCACATGCAGTCACTGATAATTTTCTTGAAAAAGGGGCCTGTCCATGAAGCCATTTTGGCTCTTGTTTTGTATTATATCCGATCCATGCATTTGCCGATGAAATAAACAATTATAACATTTGACCAATCAGAGAGCGTGCACTATCATAACCTACATGTATATATTAAATTCTAATGACTTTCATATCTTTAAGGTGGCTTCAGACTACAGTTGTTTTTCAACGATACCTCTCATTTTAAATTCGCTTTTTGAAAAACTTGCTATGCAACAATTTGTTTCGTGTTTGGACCAGTATTCAAGCATTGATCAAAGTTTTGTTTTGCATAATATTTATCTCTATCAACGTTACCTAGGCAACATAATTTAAAATTTGTCAAAATTCGTTTTTCCCATCATTAACTTCAAACTATTGCATAACATTTTGGAATAGTTTAAAACAAATTCATCTGTTCGATTTCGAGTAATATGCAAAAATCACAACCATGAAACATTTGTCAATATTACTCGAAATCGAACAGATGAATTTGTTTTTAACTATTCCAAAACCTTATGCAATAGCTTGAAGTTAATAATGATGTCTACTGCCTTTCTGGATCTCATCAATTTTTTGAGATATTTAGGAAAAACCAATTTTGACAAAATGCCAATTTCGTTGCCTAGGTAACGTTGATAGAGCTAAATATTATGCCAAACATAACTTTGGTCAGTTCTTTAATACTGACCCAAACACGAAACAAATCAGTGCATAGCAGGATTTTCAAAAAGTGAATTTTAAATGAGATGTATGGTCGTAAAACAACTGTAGGAAGCCACCTTAAAGCATAAAAATATACATAGGTTGGGAAAAAATTATAGAGCATTTATTTCTAGTCATATTTGTGGCGCATACGAAAATTTTGAAAATAATAAGATTTGTCATTTCACTGAAAGATTTTTTCAAGGTTTTTCGATTGTCGGCATATTTTATTTTCACCATATTTTTTGAGACATTTTTTTGCAACATTGATGTTGAAATCCAAAGAAGCGCACTATTTGATGTTATCACTATGCAGTGAGCCCAAAGCATAAAATTGTTGAAAAGCATAGGGATTCCATATGATCACCGCTAAAAGATGCGAAATTGAATAATTTCTTGGGTTTCCATAATCTGTAGAGCCATGAAATTTGTTTTAAACTACATTTCACCTGTGACGTCAGAGGCCCTTTTTTAAAAAAATTAAGTTTTAAAAAACATTATATACCTAATCCTAGGGCTTAAATATACAAAAAGAATTTAACAAAATTAGATATAATTAAAAAAACATAAAAGAAATCAAAAATACTTCTAGTATATTTGTCAACTTCTTAATATGTAAGTAGAGTATCGAAAAGGCTAAGAAAATAGGCTTTGAAGCTCACAAAGACAGGTTCTAGCTGAAGCCTCGTGCTGCAGGAGCATGATTTAGTAAAACCCCTGGTTAAATTTGCTGTGTCAAGATATTATAAAATCAATTCTATTATTAAATGCAACTATAAAATACATGTATTCATAGCTGTCAACCCTCCCGGATTATCTGGGAGTCTCCAGAATTTGAACTTCATCTCCAGGTCTCCCGGATAAAGGTTGAAATCTCCCAGATAATCGTCAAACTTGTAAAAAATATGGCAATGTATTAATGTAAGACGTACCCAAAGATATGACCGCTTAAAAAACAACTTTTTTTATAATGAGTTAGTTAATGCTTAAAAGTATATTATTTTTTTGTTCAATCGAAATGTAGCTTTGCTTCCTGTCAATGCAGCCCCCCATCCTTTGTGCCGTTACGTCACGTACTGTCTGTAGTGACACCACAGGAAGCCAAAATCATGATTTCACAAATCTCCAGAATTGAAAAGTCGGGGGGTTGACAGCTATGTGTTTTATCAGAAAAGGAAAAAAATGTTGAAGGACACGTCACGTCTCTGTGAACCCAGTTTGACAGCATTTACACCAATTAGTACATTACAAGTGAGAATATTACAGCAATATACTAGTCAAAAAATTGTGAATAATGTTCAAAATACATTTAGACTTTACCTCCATTAGGTTTATCATTTTCATCATCCTCAACTTCAACATCTAAAATACATAAAGCTATCTTGAGTATAAATTTGTTGACAGAGAAAACAAATTTCTTCATAAAAAATTAAAAAGTATTGTTGATTTTCAATTCAAACTCCAATCATGACGAAATGTCATTTTTACATTTTTTTTATTTGTAATCTTAATCAGCAAATATAATATGCTTCATTTAAGAATTATTCGCTGGTTTAAAAAAATGTACCTAGACATTAATTTATACAAAACTGATTATCCCAGTCTATAGGCGAATAATTTGTTTACATTTCGGTTCATTAACATATCATTACCATAAGCATATAACGTTTTAACCTAACTATCAATAAATCAGCACTGAATATTAAAACAACATAGCACAATAACCTTTCCACGCAATTTTGAGCTAATACTTTTTGCGTAAAACGGTTTTAAAAACTCCAATTTTTAGAGAGATTATATGTCGTAAGCTAATAGCGCTTTTGCCACTCAGCATCTTTGAACACTAATATCTCATAAACTATTTCATGTAAAGACCTCGTATTTTATAGTTCTTGATAAGCCCTTTTACGTCATAAACTTATTTTACAGTTTTCTTTAATTTAAACTTTATGCTAATTAGCAAAATTTTGTAAACAAAGATCCGTCTATAGATACACATTTACAGTCACAATTTATTTGTGATACCTGCTGTCTTAAAGAACTATCTTTAATTGTTGGTCTATGATCATATGTTCCAATAAAATACTCAAAATTATCACAAGGCTCAATTTGGTAGCTGACTGAAGCACGTACCTGCTGCAGAACACCCTTCATTGCTTGAGCTTCCCTGATAGAAGTCCTCACTTGACACAATATCATCGGCTAGAATTAATAATGAGAGAATATTAATATTATATTAATATTATATTATAGTACAAATAGTGTTGATTAATCCTTATTTCACACATACTTAATAACCAACAGTACTTAATTTTCCTCTAAAATCATGTCATTGAAGTATTTGAAAGGTTGTCTTGAAATAGCACTTGCACTGATTGTGACAATTTATCACATTAAATGACATTTGTGTCCTTTTATAATCTCACCATTAGTTTTCGACAATATACCAAATATGATAATAATGTAAGAGATACAATATAAGCAGGCGGTCTGTATGAGGATTTAAAACAGGAGCTGTTTTAAACCTCATACAGGTCACACGTTGTATATCAATTATGAACGTTGAGGTAAACTTGCTCAAGTTTAAAAGATATTTTTGAAAAAAAATTCAATCTGAACGAGAAGATTCAGAGTCAAAGTTTATGCAAATGAACAAGAATCTGTATGTAATATACAATTCTTTTCATGGGCTATGATTTCTATTGTGTAATGCCTTATGAATATAAGTTAATTATAAATAATACTGTATCATACATTGCATTTTTTTTTTAAATAAAAAGCAGGATTTAAGAAAGGTGCAGTATTTACCTTCCATAGCCACCAAAGATTTGCAGCTAATCTCTTCATCACTTTCATCAGAATCCTTAAAACCACTTTCCACTGGCTCAGCATCTACGATTTATATATACAAACAACATTAGGACAAAAATTAGTTACTAATTAATACCTATTTTTCAACTTACTAAGAATATTAAGACAATCAAAATGCGCAACAACTAATTAAATTACTATAAACAAAACTACCATAGCGATATATTTCCTGTTTATACCTTGGTGACTGCTTAATAAGAGCACGAATATTATAGTACTATATGGACATCGAAACACCATTACCAATGCCGAATTTGAGCGCTATTCCAGCCCAATTTATCCAAAAAGATTACCCACATTATATGGCTCCGCATAATAAACATCTTTGCTTATCTGGTTTGCAAATGACAAGCAGAACCCTCTATCGTCCGCCATATTGTTTTTCTTGGGATTAGACAGGTAACCCATAAGTGATAAACAATATAATTTGGCGCGCATTGTATTATTTTCCCCCGGAAGAAATATAATTCTCAGACATTTGTTATCCTAAGCAACAATTTTGACGATAATAAATTTGTACATTTCAAGTTGTAAAAGTTTTTGTTAAAAAGCCAGTAAAATCGTCCTGTTTGACAGCTTAAGTTACCCAATCGCAAGAATCCGACAAGAAACAAACGAAAAACTTCTGATAATAATAACATGAGAAATGAGAACAGTTTTGTCTTTTTATCACAAAATGAGATTTAATTAGATTAAATAATAAAATTCGTAGCCTCACCTGGCTTACATTCAGCTTTTGTCATCTCTCCTTTACGACGGCGAAATGTTCTCATTCTGCTTCTCTCTCTTCGTCTATGCTCTTCGTTAAATTTTCTACGTATACCCCTATGTCTTTCTCTCTCCCTTTCTTTTTCCTGTTCAGTCTGGTTTTGTAAAACAGTTCGTCTTCTTTGAAGTCTTTGTTCTTTATCATGCTCTGTTTCACTCAGAGCAGCAAACCTCTTTCGTTCACGAACAGTTTGGCGGTCAACTTCCTTTTTCTCCTCGGTTTGGTACTGCTTMGCTATTCTTTTCCGTTCACTGTCAATTTGCCGGTGAATTTCTTTTTCTTCCTCGGTCTGGTTTTGCCTAGTAATTCTCTTCCGTTCACGAACAGTTTGGCGCTCAATTTCTTTTTCTTCCTCGGTCTGGTTTTGCCTAGTAATTCTCTTCCGTACACGGTCAAGGTGTCGTTGATTTTCCCTTTCTTCCTCGGTTTGGTTTTGCTTAGATATCCTCTTCCTTGCACGGCTATTTGCACGTTCATTTTCTTTCTCTTCTTCTGTCTCCCTTCCTCTTGCAAGTCGCTTTCTTTCACGCTCCCCCGCCTTTTGCTCTTCTGTCAAGTTCCTTTGTCTTTCTCTTTCCCTACTTCTTCTTCGCTCCTTCTCCTCCTCGGTCAAAACTCTAGATCTTTTAACTTTAGTGTTCTCGTTGTTAGACATTCGAAAAAAGTTAAAAAATTAAAGKTATAAATATGATGCTTTCAATATGATATATCATAAATATTTGAAATTACTGAATTCGATACTACCGCCTAGTTTTATCACGGTCGGCGCGGCCGTGCAAAAAAATATTTCGCGCCATTTTTTCGCGCGCTAAGTATGGATTTCCTGTGGTGGTACAGGGACGGAAGGACGGACGGAAGGAAACGTGCGTACGCGCGGGAACCCTGTGTCGGTCCATGGAAAATCGACTCGATGGTTTACCATTTTTTCTTAGGTATGGTGCTCCGCTCGCGCGGGCCTTCGGCCCGCGCGGGAGCTCCGCTATAAAGGTCGAAACCGATGCAAAACTAATATCTGATCGTGAATATAGCTATGCGGAATATGGAGGACTTTCCATGCTTACTCGGTAAAATGGCGAACATATCTTTCCTGTTGGTCAAGTTTTATATAACAATGCTACTTTCTGCTCCTCCGATAATGCCTCCATATTGTCAAATCGGCATTCGAGAGCTATTGATGTAATCTGGTCAAAAACGACCTCTGATACTAAAGAATTCATCGTAAAAGAGCAATACTTTAAGTCGAGAATCTGTTTATATCTCTATATCCCTTTGGGACATGACAAATAGCAACAAAATCTCTTCCTCCCCACCCATGAAACAAAGCTAATCGACCAATCATAATGGAGATTAAAAATTGTCCAATCAGTGAGACGCAACAAATTTACGAAATCTGTAATCTTATTGGTGCGGCCAGATCAATTATCCAACCGACTCCTACCAGATGTTTGATCTTTCGCTCGGCCTTACGGCCTCGATTACGGCGCTTCGCGCCGACAAAAACAATAGCGAAGAGAGAAAATATCAAACCTCTGGGACCAGGGTACATGTGCCAAGGTTCTTGAAGTAGAAGAATTGATATAAGCTTAATTTGAGCACCAAAAACCGCTTGCACTTGTAATCTAAGATACCGCCATTTGTTTAATAACGCCACGGTATCGTCGTAGAATATGTCAGTTCTCCTCTGAGAAAATCTCCATCAATAATCGTTGTCTTTGGCGTTCACCTGTTTCTTGATTTGCTTGAGTCTTAATAAACTTAAGTTTTAATTGTTTTATCTCTCACGTTTTAGTATTTGAAAGGACAAAAATGGAGTTGCGGTGAAAAAGTTGTTTCAACAATTGACGCGAGCGCGCTTCCTTTTCCCACCTTCTCAAAAGTAGCCAATCAGAATCGCGATGTACACGGACGGACGGACGTACGTACGGAAGGACAACTGGGCTTCCTGTGTCGGTTGATCATGGGTAAAACCGCAAGCCGATGTCACTTTGGCTCAGATTAATGTCGGATAGGAAAAAAAAAGACTTTTAAAGCTCGATCTCCTACTTTTCAATGATGTATCGATAAAAAAATTATCAGAAATACCTATTTGGATCTCCATAAAGAGGTATATGTACAAAATCATCTCAAATTCGAGATTTTCGAGATTTTGTTCGGTTTTCATTGTACCCGTCATATTATTTTTTAGCATTGGAAATTGCATGACCTTGGAATTAATAGTCACTCGAAATTAAAAATGAAATTAAAATTGCGCAACCTTGAGTTCCATTTAAAATCTTAATAGTCACGAGTAATGTTTTGAAAGTTCTTCGTAATTGCACAAGCTGTAATTGTAATCCTCTCGACCAATGAAAAAAATATAATTTTGATGAATGACTATAAACGCTGTAATTGTTTTCCTCTATATCAATGAAAAAGTATTATTATAAATGCCTAAATCTATAATCTGTGTGAGTTCCATTGCGAAATACCTGCTCAATATCACTTTTTATGAACAAATCGTTTCAACTTAAATTTATCTGCACAAGACAGTCTCTCTCTAACTATGCCTGGGCTATATCAACCTGCATCGTGGAAAAACTTGAAGATATCTTCTTTTTTCATTTTATCTGTCGTAATTATTTTTATGTTAAGTCTGGCAGACCACTGTTCTTGCCATTCGGCTTACCCTCCAAACTACGACAGGGAAAAGGGTCTTCTTTTCGACTTTTTTCCTGCTCAAAATCTTACCCTTCCAAAAGGAGCAATGAAAACCAAGTATGTCAAAGATAACATGGACTGCGTGTTCGAATGCATGGGTGTCCATTGGTGCCGCTCGATCAATTTTAAAATCGCACCTCGATCGAACGGTCTTCACGCCTGTCAACTGCTTTCATCTGAACAGTTCGCTGGGAAACAGTACAT